TGAAGATTTTACGTAAAATGGGAAATCATCAATACATTTACACTAGCGCCACGTTGTGAGAAAATACCGAACTTCTGTCATCCAGCCATTAGGTCATAATCTAATGAACAACTTTGCCCCAGGCAGAGATCTCCTAAATGGAAAGGATTTTAAGATATCGTCAAAAACAAGGAAATCACTATTACATTCACTGGAGGCGAACCAGCCCAAGGCTGAAAGCCTCATTAATAAAGTTAAATAATAATAATATTACATTCACACTAGCGCCGCGTAGTGAGAAAATTCCGAACTTCTGTCCACCAACCTTAAGTTTGATCCACTGAACAACTTTGCTGAAGACAGTAACCTTCTATATGTCCAGGATCGCGAGATGTTCCATGTTGGTCCCTATTAGGTCAAATCCCATATGCTACGTGTACTCCATTTACGCGAATTCGATTTACGCGGTACGTACAGCTATCCCCCGAAGAACGCGTTACCCACTGAGTTGCACCCACCGCTTTGTCTCGGTGGGTTTTCAACCAAGCGCTCTGATTTTCTGCATGTGAGTAGGGTCAATGGAGAACTGTGAAGCACTTTTCTTATTCAAACGTAACTATTCAAATCGACGTATCTGATTTTGTAAACAATCACTTCAATCGACGATTTGTGCCAACCGCTAGCTCACTCACAGAAACTAACAACACCAGCTACTAGCTGGAAAGTTTCCCCTACCTGATGATGGTGTTTGTTTGCGTGGGCGAGTTAGCAGTTGGCACAATTCATCGATTGAAGTGATTGTTTACAAAAGCAGATACGTTGATTTAAATAGTTACGCTTGTATTGACGAATGCTTGGTCCACTTTTCGGTCCACCAGTCCCGGTTTACGACCAGATTTCGATGCGATCTCGAAGGTAACTTCTTCACCGAACTTTCGCATGGCGGTTTGGACTGCTCCGATACTTGCTTCCTCGATTTTCGCCAACTTCCTAGTGCACCATTTGTGCGGCGAGTTGAAAGTGTGCTTATACTCTCTGGGACACCCTATAAATCCGCCCTAAGTCGTATAAAACCCATCATGTGACACCTCATGAAATGCAATATAAACATTACTTTTATCCAAATCCACTCATTGGTGCAGGGCACAGCCATTAGACAGTGGAATGTCCACCTCATATGACTTGATCAAGTACCACCATCCATGTTCAACAAGAAATTTGCATCTTGCATTTTTTCCGCCCCATCAGAAGTATTTTCGAGGCCTATAAAAATTAAAAAACGCAGTTCACTCAGCTTGGAAAGCTGTTCAGGTCACTTTACTCATAAAACTGAGTAGAAATGACTCTCTCACTGAGATAGTCTCAGTGGCCGTGCATTAATGATTTTCCCCTCGCTGCAAAGTTTATTTATTAAGTAGGTAGGTATAAGTAAGACCCTGATGATGACGAGTCGTGTACATCATTCACCGCAAATGAACGAGAAACGGACTTACAATACCTATCCAACAGAGTATAGTGAGGAAGCGTGATACGAGCAAGCTCAGACCGACTCGTTTTGATTTGATATCGGTTCGTTTTGTGGCTTTCCCAATTCTCCCATTGATCCACCGCCCCCAACCCTACTGATGTGCTGATGAATATGCAATGGAATTTACTACATGCGCTTTTGCGATGCGGTCGATGGTGGTCATCTCCGTCACTACGATTAGGTGCTCAATTGGAGTGCGGCGTCCGCTTCGGTACCACTTTCGAAGTAGGCCGAGGCATGTGTGATATGTGGCAAAAGTGTGGTCTTGCCTAGTAGGCTGGGCCGGGTGGCCGGCCGGCGTCTTCGTTATCAATAAATTAACTGAATAGGATCGTTGTAACGAGTAATCACCTAAACAGTTCCATCGTTCCTGTTTTCCGTGTCATTTGTACAGAGGAGCAGAGCTTGGAAAGCCCGGCAGAAAATACGAAGACAAGCGATGGGTCAAACTGTGATGACGATGACGCTGATGATGTTATCGGCAGGCCCGGTAATTGATCTATTTGTGGGATGTCACTTTGCGTGATTGGTGTGATTGCCTGGGTGGTTTGTGTCAGTTGTTGGCAGCGGGAAAGCACATTAAACAAGATTGGCGGTCGTAGTATGGAACGGTTTTGGTTAGATTAAATTATTGATTTGGGATGAACGCTCTCATGAATTGGGTATGAGGGCAATCGTTTCCCAATCAAGTATTGATACCAGAGCAAATTAGATTCAAATTACTGTAATACCCATCAAAATCACCGCAATGACCAAGTACACCAATTTCGATAAGATCCCTTTACTTAAATTTAACGACATGAAGTCCTGTCTTTGCTTCTCAATAATGCTTTCCTCCAATGCGCTCGAAATATAGGGATGGACTCGGTAATAGAAGTAGAAGCGATGTAAATCATATAACTGACAACTCCATTCACTCTATTCATAGCCTCAGTGCTACAACTCCGAACGAGAATCAACCGTTATCCAACGAATTTTCACTCGTCCACTCTCTTTTGCCAACGAGATGGAACAGTAGATCTAGTTTAAAAAAAACCCTCTGTTGTACTTTTTGCACTGTGGTGCAAAATTTCCAAATGCAAATGAGAAACAAACGATCGTTTGGTTTTATGAAATAATCAATATTTGGACGGTCGATGCTGGAGGTGACGGAGGTGCGCTCCCTTATAAGTGAACACTTTCGCCAACACCCCATCAAAGGAGCCAATGATGTTGAGCCAGAGTCGAGTCGAGTGGGTATCATCGCAGCAACCCTTGAACGTGCAACCGCCCTCCCGAGCGTAACGGAGGAACCGTGTCCGGAAAATTGAAATGAAACTCGAGCATCATTCAATTCATTTTCATTTAACACCCACTTCACTTTTCGCCCTGGCAAAGTTAGGCGATGCTTCACGAGAGGGTGAACGTGCAGGTAGAAGAGAGTCCTTCAACATCACCGGGAGCGTATTCCAGGAGCAATTTTTCCATCGAGACGAGTGCGAACGGAACGAGCGCGTTTGGGTATCGAAACAAACCGCCTTTGTTTATCGCTTTATCGTTGGAAGGGGTGGCATCATCCTTTGAGTAGATATGTCAGCTAGACTAGACAATGGTTATTGGGAAGGCTTTGCTTGTTTTGTTTGAATACAGTAGGTAGGCGTTTTATTTTGATTGGTAGGTTAGGGTGGTTAAATACATTGCAGCTAAAACAACCGCAGTTGCAGTTAGCCTTAATTTAGAAGGAAAGTGGAAGTATTTTACAAGTACTCCAAGCGCATTAAAGTGCTCATCGTGATGGTTATTTTTCTTCTTCTCGGAAAAGTTCACAGAGATGTAGCTTTTTAGGATATGAATTTGAATGTCTAAAATTTTGACTATTGGTTGTCAAGTTGAATTCAAGGTTTCTCGGTATTGTTTTGAGCATGATGGGTTCAATATGCACGAAGTCACCTTTCTTATTTGTCTGACGCTGAATTTTCCGGATTCGGGTTTCCTCGTAGATCAGACCGGAGATACGCATTATCACAACGAGCCTGACGACGGTCTTGGAAATACCCTGTAAGTTATCATGCAACGCCTTACAATGACGCTTGGCTCCTCCTTCGCCGAGTCCTTCGCCTCCCTTGTTCCGTCCAGGCAATGTTTATGCGGCTTAAGCTGCCTTCTGGTACGATTAACAGGAAATGGATGCGAAAAACATTCCATTTAACTCTGACCTGCTTGATTGTCTAACAAAGAATGATGCTTATTTTGACCATGAATACCTCTTTTATACCTACTCTAAATTCTTTTTACAAGTTGTTGCATATTTCTTCTATCATCGTTTATGATTGGTTGAACATTACAAAAGTATGTTATATAATAGAGGAGAAAGCGGTTGAAATTTTTATTCAACAAGAGCAAACGATCTGTTCAACTCCCTTACCAAACTAAATCTCCCTCCAGTTGCAGTGTTACCCAAAACCAAAAACAGACCTTGGAAACAACCACCTCCTAAGATAGATCTCTCTCTTCTCCGAAAAGTAAAAGCAGGTGATCCGCCGTTAAAAATACAACAACACTTTAACAATCTCCGTTCAGAAAAATACAATAATTACTTCCACATCTACACCGACGGTTCCGTTTCTAATGGAAAGGTAGGCTATGGTATCACTAGCGCATTAACCAGTATTAGTTCCTCCCTCCCTACATCTTGTTCCATCTTCAGTGCCGAAGCTTATGCCCTCATGAAAGCTTCCAACTTGAACCCTCCACAGTCTGAGAATCCAACTGTCATCTTTAGCGATTCAGCAAGCTGTCTCCGCGAAATGGACTCCAGTTCCATGAATCATCCTTGGCTCATGTCAGCAGAAACATCCTCCATAGCTAATCACGGCTCCTTCTGTTGGGTCCCAGGTCACTCTGGTATCCGAGGCAATGAGGAGGCGGACCGATTGGCTGGTGCTGGTCGAGAAATGAATCCCGAAACAGTTGATGTTCCTTCTATGGACGTTGTCAGATGGGTAAAGGACCAAATAAGGGAAAGCTGGGATCTTGAATGGTTCAATAGCCGAGGTTTCGCCCTAAGAAGAATCAAACAGTCTACATCTCGTTGGCCAGATAATAAAAACCTCAAAGACCACCGTATTCTTTCCAGAGTTAGAATTGGTGCTACCCGTCTTACCCATAGCTACCGAATTACCAAAGAGGAACCTCCAAACTGCATCACATGCGGTGTCCCACTGTCCATCCCCCACCTTTTGTTAGATTGTAGAGCCTACAGTACCGAACGTTTGACTTATAATCTAGATACAACCATAGAGGAAGTTTTATCACCACCCACTGAACAGAAGCTGCTGGAGTTCTTGAAAGCAACCGGATTGTATGACCAAATTTAATTGAAGCAAACAGGGACGAATGACCGTTTACGGTTAAAGTCCCGTTAAAACAAAGACAAAACATTGAATTTTTTATTCAACGTGAAAAGGCTTCTCCTGAAATCGCCCAGGACTTCAAGACCGATCTGTGCTTCCAGAGCTCGGCCGTTGCAGGAATCCAGCGAGGCCTATCTGGTCGGTCTGTTCGAAGATACCAACCTGCGCGCCATCCAAGTCAAGCGTGTCACAATTATGCCAAAGGACATTCAGCTATTCGTGGTGAACGCTCTTAATTTCTCCGTCGAAATCTAGCAAAACTGGCCCTTTTCAGAGCCATTAAAAGATTCCACAAGAGAGTATGAAAGGAAATTTCTGCTGCTTTCGCTGATCGCATTACAGTGAATCCTGATCTTAATTACAACCAGCAAGTGTAACCAAAGAACCAAAAGCGGTGCGATGCTAGTGTTCATTGCTGTGGCGACGACTGTAAAGGGCTTAGAAGCAGAAGGGTGAAAGCCAATTCTCTATCGATTTCCTGTTTTGTGATCAACATGGCTTCACTAACCTATTTCGCACTATTTCTGCTATTCTCTTCTATCATCCACAACAACAATGGTATCAATGAATGTTTGCCGTCGAGCTAACGTTATCCGACCTTCTTAGTTGCTCCTTCCGTGAATGATCAGAACTAATCAACTTGCACAGTGCGGTTGTTACTAGAGACCGAGAATTCCTCTACATCTCCACGGCTGTCTCGGAAAGGATAGTTGTGTTAGTGAGGTAGGTTAGTTTTAGATCAGGATTCATGTGGTAAGTGATGCGATCGGTTAAAGCAGAATTTGTTTTTATTTAAATCTAGTGGGGATAGGATATTGCAAAGTGAAAAATTGCAAGGATGGGGACGGGCCTGAGATTGAACCCCGGCCTTCTGCTCAGTAAGCAGAAACGGAAACCACTGAGCTACCGAGCCTCGTCGTAATGCTACATCGACATGTTTCGTCTAGGAATGATTCTCTGATGAATGTGGTGGGAAAGGAGCATATGCATGTACGAAATTGATCGATTTATTAGTTAATTCGACGCTTTTGGACAATGCTGGACATTTAACACTTTTTCAATAATTTCTTGTTGAAAATCAACTGTCGAAAGCATTGCTATAGATGCGTAGAAATATTGCTGATCGAGTGGTGATAACATTTTTGAAATTGAACCAGGGGCAGCTGAGTTATTAACGTTCAAAATCTTTCAAAATTTTGTTTCATGTTCCATTTTCGATTTTCACAAAGTGTACCCCCATATAGAAATCACAGACGTAGTTCTACGTCAAAATATTATCAAGGGAATACTGAGATGAATTCTATGGGAATCAAAAAAAAAAAAGTTCCAACTAAATGCTGAAGAGAACTTTATGAAATTTTGGGAAGAATTCCAAGGGAGAATTCAAATTTTCAAGAAATTTCCAATATCATTGAGAGAAGAATACTAAGGTAATTCTGAAGAGTATAACATAGACAAACAGACATAACTCTTGCATACTTTTCATCGAACAGGCATTTCCTTGCGTTTGGCGTTTACACACTGGCGGTAGTGTTTATGTGACGATGTGTTACAGTGTTAATAAGTGTTAATATTCAATTCGTTATGTCTGTTTGGTTCTGAGTTCTGAAGAATGTTCATAGAGAATTTCAAGAATGATAATTAAGCAAACTTGTAAGATCCTGCCGGTTTGTGGGAGATGAATTGTTTACACACACACAGAGAATTGAATTTGAAGAACTTTCATTTATTTACATCTGGCATATTTTCCAAAATTATTCTTAAAATTAAGAACTTGATTTGTCATTCTAAACTGTTACAATTTTTCAAGTTTTTCATTCGTAAAACCAACATTTCCGTGGTGTTCTTAGATATTCGAAGGGGGAAAATATTAGGATTGAACCGCGAAACCCAGGAAAAAATCGAGAATTCCTAAATGAAAATTTAGCGGCCACCCTGGTAATGTTTGGGAGGTTGCACTGCAATGCTGCGATGTCTTTAGAAATTTGCTGATTTGCACTTCAAGCAAGAGATCATAGAATATTTTTTCCCTTGATTTGTTTTCCGTCGATTTTGTTTTCCGTGCTGAGCACCAATGCTACCGACTCCAGGGAGGCAGCTCCCACACATGAACCCTACTTATCGACGCATCAACTCATGAACCGGCGACCAACGGATTTACTTCCCTTCCGAAGGAAGACGTGATCAAAGATGTTATGTCTCAGAACATCCCGGCGGCGCCGACTGGGATTGAACCCAGGCCTGCTGGGGTGAGAGGTAATCACGCTTACCACTACACCACCACCACCACCAAAAATCGATGTGGTTTGCTTAACCCGTAAAAGCCCTGGACAAAATTTTTCTTTTCCAAATGCTCAGAGATGCCATAGCCGATTGAATTGACATTTTTTTAAATAATTTTGGTGAGTGGTTCTACATCTGCTCCTCCCGGCCCCTTCCTTTTTATATATTCGAGAATGTTTTGGCAAGGGGGTGTTTTTTTCAATCTTCATCATATATTTTACTTATCATTACGACAACTTATTGATTTTTCTCGTGGAGCTTCCGGAAATGATAGAGAAGAATTGTAAGACCAAATGCCTATCTTGGCATTGATTCCGGATGTTTCGGATTATGATTTTATAGGGTAAATTTTTTTAACGATCAAGTGGACGAAATAGGATCAGAGGCACTCAAAACTACGACCATAGATCATTATGGCTATCGTAGAACCAGATCTGGATACTCCTGATTATGGTTCCACAAGGTCATATTAGATAACTCTCATAATCATATCAAGCGAAATATTAAATTACATTTACTCCTCGAAATGTGACCAATAGCACTTAAAATGACAACCATACAGCCATCTAGCCTCCGTAGAGAATCCAGGTTATGATTCCAAATGGTTGAATTTGATATCTCTCATAACCATATCAAGCGACATATCAATCACATTTATTCGACGAAATATGACCAAAGGCTCTCAAAACGACAACCATAGTGCCATATGATACCGTAGAACCGGTTCTAGATATTCTGGATTGTTGCATTACGGTAGCCATGTGGCTCTATAGTTGTTGTGTTGAGTTCTATTGGTCATATTTCGTCGGGTAGATGTGATTTGATTTGTCGCTTGATATGGTTATGAGAGATGTCAAGTTTAACGATGTGGAACCATAATCCGGAATACCCGGAATCGGTTCTACGGTGGCCATTAGACTGATGCAAAATTTGAAATTTTCGCTCCACAGTGCTCAAACGGTTCCAAATTGGGCCCTGATTAGCCTCCCAAAATTTGAACTCATTTAGTGAGAAACTGACTTGGCACAAACGATTTGAAGTTTATATGGAAGTTACTATGGGAAAACAAAACTTTTTGTTCATTGTCTTCTAGCCTTTTTACATATTGTACTGTTAACAAATTCTATTGCTATTCTTATGGAAAATTTTATCAGTTACAACTTTGCAGAAAATCGTTTTTCAGCCAAACGTCAAATGAAATAGTTATTAATTGTTTAAGAGATTGATAATCTTATGGCAAGATTAAGCAACTGTATTGTGGGCAACACTGTATTCTGCAGTGTGACATAGTAGCCATGATTTTTGTCCTCTATTCTACGCGCCATAAACACCAATGTTGCCTGCTGAACAATTGATTGAGCATAATCATAAGACATCAGTGAATTGAATCCTTAATAATTTTTGTTCCTTACATTTGAACGAAAAGTGGTCTTGAACAAAGTTGTAGCTGAAGAAATTTTCAACAAGCGCAGCTAAAATTTTCTAAAGTAGAGTGAACTGGTGAATTTTGAGATAAATATGAACCGAAATTGTGGTTTCTCCATAGTAATTCCAATGTAAACTTCAAATGGTTTGTGCCAAGTCAGTTTCTCACTAAATGAGTTCAAATTTTGGGAGGCTAAACAGGGCCCAATTTGGAACCGTACTGAGCATTGTGGAGTTAAAATGTCAAATTTTGCATAGTCTAGTGGTCATATGGCTGTATGGATGTCGTTTTGTGTGCCATTGATCATATTTTGTTAAGTAGGTGTGATTTGATATTCCAACTAACATTTTCAGCTTTATAAGCCATCTTTTCCAGCGTTGTGCTGTAAAGTAGCTGAAAAAAGCCGCAGATACAGCTACAAGCACAAGCTAGCAAAATAGTTTTGGAGAGCGTTTGCTCTTATTTTTCACAACCATTATTGAATTTGTCAGTCGCACTGAATAACAGCAGCCAATAAACGCTAATGTTACTTCTACGCACATATTGATCAACTTTCAACTTGTAGCTGCTAAACAAAACTAATAAAGCGAATACATTACTCATTTGATGACTTCTACGCAACCAATTGCTGAATAACATAAACATCAAAAATGCTTTTTCAACAGCTAAATAACCCGTACTCAGTGAATAAACTATGTTTGCGCTACTTTGGAAGCATTTTACAATCAACTAGGTTTATTAATAGACATATGCAGTTTTACAGCTTTTACTCTGCTCCTTTACAAAGCTGAATTAACTGGTCGAGTAAAGTGATTCATGTGCCGCGATCAGCGATTCTCAGCGATCTTGTTGTAGAAGGGCATGTAGATGTTTTTACATCAGTTCAAAATGTTGGCATAGCTAAGTTGGTAGAGTCAAGGTTTGCCAATGCGGTCGTCTCGAGTTCGATTCCAGGTTTCCAGTACAGGGTAAATAATTTGGTGGTGTGCGTATAACTAATTTCGATTAATTTGGTTCGCAGTAAAATAGACTTAATAAATTCCTCCATCAAAAAAAGCTTAAAAAATATTTTAACCAGGCTTCAAGATAATGCTGTGTAGTGGACAACCGGGAAAAGGTTGAATAAACGTATTTCAAGTTCACACACAACTAAACAGCAGGCTAAAAGCTGCATAAAAGCGTAAATAGATATGCAATAAGAGCTTGTCCCAACCGTCCCAACAGCCATAAGTAGCTGACTAAGTTCAACAGATTTGCTTGTATAGATGTTGAATAAAGGTTCCTCATATCGTATAACACTTGAATACAGCTTGAGGCTGTATAAATGAAATGAGTAAAGCGTTTACATTGCGAAAATTGTTAGTTGGAATGTCTCTTGATATGGTTATGAGACATATCAAATATGGCGATACGGAATCATAATGCAGAACATCCTGAACCGGTTCTACGGTGGCCAATGGCTCTATGGTTGTCGTTTTGAGTGCCATTGATCATATTTCGTCGAGTAGTTGTGATTTGATATGTCGCTTGATATGGTTATAAGAGATATCAAATTTGACCATGTGGAACCATAATCCGGAATGATTTTATGTATGATGTATGTAAGATTCATATTCCCTCCCTGTCGAAAACATAGACAAAGTATCATTGAAATCGGAAATTCTCCAATCTGGTCATTTACCTATTTCGCGTGGAAGTGCACAAGAGAGATTTTTCCCCTTCATTTTGAGACTATTATAATGAACTGTTGCATCGAACGTTCCGACAAAACATTTAATTAGCAGTAGTAGTAGTAGTAGTAGTAATAGTTTTTATTAGTTCCTTCTTTGAATTGGTGAAGGTTGTGTTTTAATGTTATTCTAGCAAACACACCGTGAACCTTATTATTACAGTTTCATTCAGCCATTTGCACACGCTGCGCTTTCTCGCCTACTGTGATGAGCATGCGGCTATATAGCCATCACGCCGATTACTACGATGGTTCGTCGCAACTGTGCGCGCTGCGTTCACTGGTGTAGGTAGGTGCCAGGTAGACAAGACACCCTATGTAGCTTAATAGAAGCGCGATAAAACCGAGTGTAGTGGAGTGAAAAGAAAATTCATTCCATTTCGTCGCGCTCAGTATTCAGTTTGCCGTCGGTTCAAAAGTAGCAATAAGTTAACGCGCTTACGGCTTCCTCCCAGTAGCCTCTCACAGTGCTAGTTAGTTATCACTTTGCTCGCTTACAGAAAGCATCACACCACACCGCAGTGTGTATTTTGCTCGACTTATGCGAAGGAGATAGCATTCTCTAACCCAATAATAGAATTAGAACACAAACGCAGTGTAGCGCAAAGAGGAAAACGGTGGATAGTCAGAGTCGATCGGTCGCGAGAAAAACATCCCATCGTCAGTTGTGTGCTCGCTCGAGTGTGTACTGAAGCGCTAATCTAATTACTATCTGTTACGGTAATCGTGGTCATCGCCTCCGTCGCGCATCGCCGTCATCATGAGAGAAATTGTGCATCTGCAGGCCGGTCAGTGCGGAAATCAGATCGGATCAAAGGTGTGTGTGCAGTGTTCCAATCGGTGAAACGTGGCCTACTTGATTTTCCCATTTCAAATCGGTAACCGTACCTAGCTATCCAAGTTGGATACCACAAACGGTACCAAAAGAAACATGGACTCAATTTCTATTTTTGAGTCAGCTAGCAGCAAGCGACAGTGCGCAAGCAGGCCTTAGAAGTGATTGCATAAGCGGCCAATGTTCAAACGGTTCCATCAAAGCAAGCCTTGCATGCAACGCTGATAACTTATCTAGTTTTCACCTTTTTTGGACCGAAATCAGTGACAACGTGTACCCCGCTGACTGTGGTATTGCGTCAAATGTGTAGGAAATTGAAATCGCTCAATCGGCGCTCACAAAACTCTTTTTTTTTTTAATTAACTCCACCGCAAAGCTGACAGTGTACGAATCCGAAAACTTGATTCCATCGTACGATGCAAATCTAGCCGAGCTGCCCTGTTACGGTCTGTTTCAGGCTTTATATGGGAAAGCCCAGTTCCATTTTCTATAATGCTGATGGTGTTGCTATTATGCTTCAGTCATACTTCTCACCGCCGCACGCACAGCACGAACTGTTGAATGAATCAACAACAATGCTGCGCAGCATAATCTGTCAGCATGCTTATCTCATCGCCCCACACCACCACAGTCAGGCGGTATGACATTGCTAAACAATGCTATTTGTACACACCACCATGGAAAATGAGTTCGCATACCACAATCCGTTATGTTTTTATTACTTTCTCGTATGTGGGAATGAGAGACTCGAAGAGCTAGGGCAATTGATCTAAATTAGCATCTGCACCGGTAGGTTGGTAGGTAGGTGATAATCGTGCCGGTTTGAAGAATGCGGCAAAATTTTACCACCCTCAGCAGGCATATTCGGGAACGGCCAATCACGTGGTCTAGATTTATTCGTCCAATGACGTTTGCTCGACGCTCGGATTTGAGTATAAATACTTTATGTGTCATCATATGGCTTTATTTTTTTTCTTTCCGGGCAAACAAATGGGAAATTATTTAGTCTACAGGGGAAATTGATACCTCTGGCACATGGGACGGTTCTAAGTTTAGAACGGTGTAATTTTCCTCAAATAATACGATGAGGTCAGATGCACGTATGCAGCGGAGGAATGCACGATATAAAATGGGGGAAAAACATGCAGGAAAGCTTTCTTGTCGATTTCACAATTTGAATTTGAACCGCAACTAAGTATAGTGGAAGACAGGGTATGAACGGTCGGTTGGGTTAGAAATCCTCAAGATTCTTGCAAATATTCAACGCAGAAAAGATTAACAACATGTTTTCATCATTCTGAAACACCTTGCACGCGCGTTCTATTTCTCTCAAAACAGAGTAACTTTTACTCAGTTTAGTATTTTCATGCTAAATGTCAAAAACTAGGTAACATTAAATAAGAAAAGTGAGTAACTTCTACTATTAATATTTACTCACTTTCAAGTAATTCCACACAAATTTTATTCGTCGTGTTCTGTCAAAGACTTGCAGACTCTTCACTTTTGTCCCTTGCGTCCTGTTTACACTGGATTTTCAAAAATTAAATATCTCGAAAAAATTTAGCTAAAAGTGCACTTGGTTAATCAAATTACTCTAAAAATAAGCTGACAGCTCCAATACAACATCTTCAGAAATCGTCTATTAACAGCTGCAGTTAGATGGTTGCCGAACCCAATCCCGAGCCGTGACATAACCTGGAATTTCTAGTTGAAGGGGGTTCGGGATTCGCAACTTCCGAGGAGATGGTTAAAGTCTAATGGATTAAGATCTCTCTGTCTCTCTAATTTGGTAGTCATTATATGGAATACTAATAAATTAGAGAGAGAAAGAGAGATCCGTCCTACAGACATCGGTTAATTGCTTGGAGCAATCCCTTCCCATCGCTAATCAACAAGCACAATGGTATGTCTCTCAACTGATTCCATGGAGCTGTATATAGATCAAATTCCCTGTTGGCAAGAGGGTTTTACCAAGATGTTCTTCAATCCAGATAGTGTGAACTAATTGAAACAATTTTGCATTGTGATTATATTGGTGCATTGCGTGATTATATTTGAATAAAAACGTTTGATATGTTTATGTTATATTAAACGACAAACCCGATTACTCATTTTCAAATATAATAATTTTACAAGAACTGAGTAACCTTGAGTCAGTTTCACTTATCTTTCAAAATCTAGAACTAAGTAGACGTTACTCTAAGTTTGGCAAATGCATTTTTTACTCAAAGGTGAGTAACTACGGGTTTACTCACTTTAGAGTAATTCCACTTTTAACGAAGGTGAGTGGGATTTTTACTAACTTTTGAGTAAAGTATAACGAGCGTGTGTAGCCCCCGAACATACGAAACGTCAAAATAATAAATAAAAACTAAATTCACGTTTGTTTCATGATCTTATTTTGAAAGCAACAAATCAAAAGCAAAACTATGTTTTCTGATATTTTTCGGTACCTTTTCCCTTAATTAGGCTGTGATTCTTCTGTGACTGTTGATAAAGGTATGTAAAAATACATAAACCATGTCAAAATATATACAATATTGTGAAAATTGTAAACCAGGGGTAAAAGCGCCACACTTTTTTATTGCGTACACAGCAAAACTTAAAACGTAAAATTGTAAACAATCTTGTTTACAAAGACGGGCATTTGTATACAATATTTGCAACATGTCATGAAATGTATCTCATCTTTACACGACTTATAACGTAAACTTACAGGGTGATTCGGAATAACTGTCACTTTTAAAAATGGTCATAACGATTGAACGCTTGCATGATTTTTTGATATCAGTACATTCCAGATATACTACTTATATAACCATAAACTTAGCATACTTTAATTCAAATCTCTCTCCCTTTACCTTTAATTACCAGCCACATTTGTCATGAAAATGAATCACATCTGGAGCGCACGTTTTAGTTCCAGCGCTTTTGGAATCCTGGTGATTCGTCTAAGCTCTGATATTGAACGGATTTTCCACGCATGGTTCCTTTTTACATCTACCTCTGCAAAAAAAGAATGTTTCATTCTTTCAAAGAGATTTAAGTTTCTAAACGAAAACACACGGGTTTATACAGATTTATGACATGCTCCATTATCACGTGCATGACTGCTTTAAATCAAAAACGAATGAAATTTCAAATCCTACTATCAATACAAGCTGATATTTGAACACACTTTAAAACAAAATTTCTTGAACATATAAAGACTGGAACGCGCAAAAATTAGTCGACAAAAAAAATCGTTTCTTTCAGTCAAAATACATATCACAAAAATCTTCTTATTTTTCTTTTGGTAGTTCAATTCATATACTTAAAGGAAAAAATATTCATTTATTCCTTTGGTTTGCCAAATCAGAACTGCCGTGCCTCCACTTAGCCCTTTCATTAAATGTTGCACAGTGGTCTCATCGACCTTATTCGCCGCCGAACGCCAGTTAGATTTAAACTGCTGCTCGTTTTCCATGGATTTATTAGTTTTTTGAAATTTGACCAAGGCCCAATACCGTTCGATAGGGAGGAGATCTGGGCTGATGGGAGGGTTGTGGTCTTTGGGTACCACAACCACGTTGTTCGCATCGTACCACTCGATTGCCTTTTTCCCATAGTGGCAGCTCGCCAAGTCCGGCCAGAACAGCACAAGTCTATTATATTGCTTAAGGAATGGTAGCAGCCGCTTTTCCAGGCACTCCTGTCCTGTAGATCTCTTGATTGTTGGTTCCCGTAGTAATGAAAATGCCGCTTTTTAGACCACACATGCATATAGCCTGCCAGACGAGATATTTTTTCGGGAACTTCAATAGTTTGATGGTTTTGAAAATTTTAGCCACCTTCCCTTTTCCTGATGCGGTATAAAACTCCTGTCCTGAAATCCGCCTTCACATAACTTTCGTCGTCTTTGACGACACAGTCAAACTTTGTGAGCAGATTCGTATACAGCTTTCGGGGCCGCTGCTATGCCGACGTGGTTTGTTTGTAATCTCGGTTCGCCACCTTCACTTTCTTAAACGTCGACAACCCGGCTCGTTTCTTGGCCCACTGCACAGTAGTTTTGGAGGCGTTGAGCTTGCCAGTGACGTCCCGGATGAAGAGGTTAGAATTCCGCTTATATTTCACCACCCCCCTTCTTCGTCGTCGCTGCCACGTTCGAATTACGATTGCCGCCGCTTCCAGGCTTCCTGGCGGTCGACAGACGCTTCCCGAACACTTTTAAAACGTTTGTCACGGTCGATTTGGCCACATCCAGCAATTTTGCCAACTTGGCGTGTGAGAACGTCGGATTCTCTTGCTGCGCGAGCAAAATTTCGACACGCTGCTCCTCTTGCTTGGACGTCATTTTGAAAACTGGAGAACAAACGGTGAAAACTCATCATAGCAACCATTGTATATACACTCAACTTCCAAATGCAGCATTTCAGGTTTTTAATGCATTTTAACAGAAATTCACCAATTTGAAGTTGACCAATTTTTGCACGTTCCAGACTTTACCCATTTTACCCATTGAGATCTGTTGAATCGGTGAAAGTTATTCTGAGTCAACCTGTACATGATACGTGACGCGCCATTTATTATCCATAATAATGAACAGAAATTAACACTACTTTTTCGAACTGTGTAAGTATCTTTGAAACTGAAATGTTGTTTTTCCAGACCAAGTAATAAGTGATATTAATTTCTCATTGCTATAATCAAGAATAAAAACCTGAACGCATCCACCTATGGTGAGATGCGATTATTGTTACTAATTTATGTTCCGAAATAAATTTTGTTTTGGTCCTGGCTGGTATCCGGAACGGGAGCGAGACATTTCATCGAAGGACGTTTCGCCGAAGGTCATTTGTCGAACGGGTCATTTCGCCGAAGAGCAAGCCATTTTCTACGGCTTTGGTCTTTTCTCAAAGCTCAATCAATTTTGAAATTAGTCTCGAAAAAAGATTAGGAAGGCTCGATTTTTTCAACCTGCTTCCTTCTTTTGAACACGA